CGACTTCCAAATTTCCAATGAATGCATTTGTAGCCAAATTTAATGATTATTTCCTCTTTGCTTTCACAGGGCGGAGCCGAGGAGATGGACAGCGAGGGCGGGACAGTGGGGACAGAGCATTTTCTCAGGGCGTTGCGATTAGTCCCGCCCTCCTGCCTGCGCAGCAGTGTGGGTGTGTCCGACTTTCAGCCTGTGAGCTGGGAGCGAATTGGAGGGCTTGAAGATGTCAAACTCAAACTGAAACAGGTACAGAGAGACACACCTGCTCTCAGGCTGAGAGTTTGGTTCTGTTTAGAGTGCGAGTTCTGCAAAAAATGTTATTATTTTTATTTTTTATTTTTATTACCACCAGCACTCTGCTGCTGCAGTTTGTTTACTGATCTGTCTCTTTAATTTCTCTCTCTCTCTAAACCAGGTTAAATCAGTCAGAGCTTGTGGTCTGCTGGAACTTTGCCATTTTGTTCCTTAACTGTAAACAAAACCTGAAGCTAATGTTTCTGTTTGTAGAGTATCGAGTGGCCGATGAAGTTCCCCGAGGCGCTGGTGCGGATGGGTGTGCGTGGGCCACGGGGTGTGTTATTGTACGGCCCCCCCGGCTGTGCTAAGACCACCCTGGTTAAAGCAGCTGCTTCAGCATCACACTGCAGCTTCCTCACACTCAGCGGAGCTCAGCTTTACTCTCCATACGTAGGAGACTCAGAGAGAACTCTAGCACAGGTAGCACACTCACACACAGACACACTTTAACCTTCAAATGCTAAGGGTCTGTTTGGGTGTCCACACTTCAGTTCCTCCCCTTTATTGTAACTCTCTCTCTCTCTCTCTCTCTCTTTCTCTCTCTCTCTCTCTCTCTTTCTCTCTCTCTCTCTCTCAGCTCTTCCGTCAGGCTCGTGCTTGCTCTCCCTCCATTGTGTTCCTGGATGAGATTGACAGTATGGTTGGTAGTCGTGGTGACGGTGCTTGCCGCAGTGGAGTGCAGGCACAGGTTCTGTCGGTGCTGCTGAATGAGCTGGACGGGGTGGGCTTCAGGACCACTGAGAGACGTGGTTCTGCAAAGACCATGCAGACTGAAGGAGAGGAACAGGAAACACTCCGGGAGAAACAGGTCAGATTTATCAAAATCAAAAGTGCTTTATAATATTCATATGATCCAGTCATTCTGACAGACTGTAATACACTACAGGAAGTGTAGGGGGCGATATGGCTTCTACTGTTTCATTTAAAAAGTGCTCTATAATGTTCATATGATCCACACAGTCATAATAACAGACTATAATACACAAGTTTATTTATAAAGCACATTAAAAAGCAACAAGCGATGGCCATAGTGCTGCACAGCAACCCAGACAAGTCCAAACAAAGTCGATAACATAAATAAATTACAATAAGACAATAAACAGTATCTAAAACAGTGCCAAGATAGAAATATAAAAGGATAAAATCATCAAATCAAGCCAGACCTAGAAGTAGAATAGGGAATATATCCCATAATAGTCAGAACAGAAGGGGTGCCGGGGATCTCAGCCGTGGCAACACAGAATAGTAGCCATTTCAATTAGTCAGGGATCACAGAATAAAACCTTTTTATTTGAATGATTTTGAGTCATTTAATTTGAGTGATTTTGATTCTTGTTGCTCAGGTCATGCATTTAAAGCTTTAAAAGAAAAAGGAAAATCACACTCCTATCCTGTGGAACGTCTATTCTGTATTCAGACAGTAGATGGCGCCAGAGTAATTCTATTTTGTGTTGCAAGTTGACAAGCTTATTAAATCTAATTTGTAAATATTTAATCTCAGTGATCAGATTTTCCGTGTTAATACACACAGGTTATATGTTATGTAAACCCAAAGAGAGAGTTAAGTGTCAAAAACAGGTACATAAAAATTAAAGAGCTCATATCCTGCATTTTTCTTGTGCTCTATTTTTTACGCAAGTCTCCTTATGAAATTCTTGTGGCTGTGTCGTAATTAACTTTTACATGGCCATTTACCAACCTCTCTTTATCCTTAAGAATTAAAGACTGTTTGCTTGATGTTGTATAATATTTGTTTTAATATTTTAATATTGTGTGTGCATTTGCAGATGGAGCTGCAGGAAGTGTGTAATAAAGATGTGATGATAGTAGCTGCCACTAACAGACCGGATGCACTGGACAGTGCTTTGCTCCGCCCAGGCCGACTGGACCACATCATATACGTACCCCCACCTGACCCACAGGTAAATATCTAGCTGCTTCTATTAGCACCTGAAACACAGGTGAACATGTAGCACCTCCTACTTCCACCAGAAACACAGGTAAACTTTTAGCTCACCTCCATCCCACCTGACTCAGGAAAACTTTTAGCTCCTCCCACTTCCACCTGACACACAGGTAAACTTTCAGCTTCTCTTACTTCCACCTGACACGCAGGTGAACGTCTAGTTCCTCCTAATTCCACCTGATACAAAGGAAAACGTCTAGCTCCTCTCACTTCCACCTGAAACATAGGTAAACTTTCAGCTCACCTTCATCCCCCCTGACTCACAGAAAAACTTTTAGCTCCTCCCACTTCCACCTGACTCACAGGTAAACTAGCTCCTCTCAATCCCACCTGACTTACTGGTAAACTTTAGCGCCTCCCACCTCCATTTTTTAGCCCGTCTTAACCTTCTACCCTCTCTTGTTTTCAGGCTCGGCTGGCCATCCTGCACCTCCACACAGAAAAAATGCCTCTGGACTCTGATGTCAATCTGAAGGATCTGGCAACCCAAACACACCTATTCTCTGGAGCTGACCTGGAAAGCCTCTGCAAAGAGGTCAGAGCATTTTTACAATTCATTGGTTTACTGTTATGAGTTTCTTCTTTGGGAAGCTCCACCAATTTTTCAAAATTTCTGTGTAATTAAACGGTTAAGATGTGAACAGTCATTCAGAGTGGTTTGGTGTGAAATGCCCCGCTCTAGAGAAACTTACCAAGTCAGATTTATTCATATTAGTGGCGGTGATAGGAACCAGACGTCCACCTCTAAAAGCGCCCTCACAGAAAGTTATTACATGAAATGGTTATGAATTCACTGCCTGATGAGACAGTTTTATGATAGTTTTGAGAACTTAAAATCCATTCATGGTGGAGGGATTCATGCAGGGCGTTGTGAGGCAAAATAGTCCCCAAAGATAACTTACTTAGATTTTCCACTATTTTTCCATCATCAACATTCCATATAAAGCTCAGAAGACACGTGTAGGTTCACTGGTGGTTTTGGATAGGAAATAATAAAATGTATATATTTGTGCTGTAATCATGGTGACCCCTGGTTCCTATCAACACCACTGTAAAGAAATTTGAACCATTTCACACCAAACCTCTCTCAATCACTCTGTTTACATCTCACACACTGAATCAGAAATTCAGAAAAAGTGGCAGAATTCCATCTTGAAGCGATAGTTCAGTGAAAATAAATCACATTCACATCTGATGTTTTAAGTGCAGGATTGGAGTTGTACTGTAACAGAGTTTGTGTTCTTGTCATCTGCAGGCGGCTCTGTTGGCTCTTCATGAGGAGGGGATGAGTGTTTCCACAGTTCAGCACAAGCACTTCCTGAAAGCCCTGCAGCGTGTTAGCCCCTCTCTCACTGCCCACCAGCTCCTACAGTACCAGCAGCTCTTCAGCTCAACACTCAACTGCAGTTAGTGCCATGCAGTTAGCTGAGTGCAATAGCATCGCTGCATTCTAAATGAACATTATAATTTTGTAATATGCCAACATGTGCTACGCCTGTATAATATTTAACGTCACCCATTGAAGCTGTTCATTAAAACCCTTTTCCAAATGTTCTTGTATAATTTTTGTTTTTGCTGTGATGTACAGTGAATGAAAGTGAAACTTTAGGAAGAGAATGTCTGTTATGCACCACAAACTGCCTTCGTCTGCCCCCCATCTACATCTACTTCAAAACAATCCTTACCACAAACTCTGAATGCCTGTAAACATGCTGACGTGCTGGTCAGTGCGTGCCGGTGCCTGCCTGCTAAGGTATGTGTGACAGTTCCGTAGTTTAGGGAACATACATACCACCAACACCTCTCTGTATGAGTCATACACAATACAATACAACATTTAGAAGGAATTCATTTTGTTAGTTTAATAGAGAATAGTGAATCATATAAAACAGATGCTGAATAATTCATAGTACACACTTATTAATTTGTAGTAGATGCTGAATAATTCATAGTAGATGTGGAATAATTCATAGTAGATGTTGAATAATTCATAGTAGATACTAAATAATTTATAGTAGATACTGAAAAATTCATAGTAGATGCTGAATAATTCATAGTAGATACTGAAAATTTATAGTAGATGTGGAATAATTCATAGTAGATACTGACAAATTTATAGTATACAGTAAATAATTTATAGTAAACAGTAAATAATTCAGTAGACACTGAATAATTGGTAGTAGATGCTGAACAATTCATACTGAACACTTCATAGTACATACTAAATAGTTAATATTATATACTGAAAAGAATTCAGGTGGTTAGAATTGTGCTTAATTATTAGTATTTTTGTTGTTGATGCTAATGGGGCCAGCTTGTGGTCATATTATATAAATACATAAAGATGAACAGAGTTTATTAATCAGTACAGCATGTAAAATGTGTTTATATAGGCTCCTTAAACGTGTGCCCAAAAGTTATGTGTGTTTTAGGTCACGTATGTTGTTATGCTCTGTGTCCTGCCTCAGACTGGTCGTGTGTGGCATGCCCACTAACCCCCCTCCCCAGCCCCCCCCAGGTCTCTCCAGAAAAGCTTTATCTGAGAGCTATAAATACCGGCTTTGTTTCTGCTGTCTGCTGCACGCGGGACGTTATTCTGGGGTCATGTTCTTCACTCTGCCTCCACAGTCTGTCCTTACAGGAGCGACCTTGTGGTAAATCAGCCACCAGGGGGTGCCACAAACTGCTGAGGATTGTGGTTGCCATGGTAAAGCAGTTCTTCCTGATAGATGTTGATACACAGTGTGTACGTGCCTTGGTGCTCGTCCCACCTGTGCTATAAAGCTGGTGGTGGCGGGATGCTGAGCAAAGTGAGCCGGCAAGCCATCAGACAACTTCACAGTGAGGTAAGACCAATCATTAATCAGCATTCTAACAGAATGATTACACTATTACTGGCATAATTATAGCTAATTATAATGAATAGCAATGCGTATTGCAGTGCAGAGCACTGATTTTTGCTTACACTGTATTACATTCTTAATTATGAGTAATTGTGTAATTAAAATTCCTTATTATTTATAACTAATTGCAGTGTATATTTAGACTGCAATACATTCTTAATTATAGATAATTATGATTAGGAAGTATTACCATTAAGATTGCTGATTAACTCACACTGTATTACTTTCTTAATTATACGTAATTATAAAAGAGTATTCTGTATAATTATGAATTATTATAATTAAGATTATTATATTTAAATTCTCTTAATTAGCTCAATCTGTATGACTTTCTTCTTTAATTATGAGTGAGTATACAACTGTATATTAAGAATATTATTAAAAAAGCAAAAGTACACTGTATTACATCCTTAATTACCTTGTTATTATTATTTTCATCTCATTATTAGACTAAAATAAGCCGTGAAAATGGTGACGGGAGGCTTTCTGCAAATGCTGAGGAAAAGGAAAGAGGTTAGTCTCCACTGCCTGTTCTAAATTATTCAGCTATTTGCAGTATTTTAAGCTTAAATTGTGTGTTTGTTTCCCCTCCAGCTCATTCCTCTGATTGGCTTCATGGCTTTTGCTGCCACCGGAGCCACATCTGCCAGCATTTACTTCTTACTCACCAAGCCTGATGTCATGTAAGCACATTATCAACAGGTTCCACATGTCCAACATGCTTTCCTCCTCTACCTGACTGACGCTCGCATTTCAGCAGCAGCTGTGAGCTTGTTTATTAATAATTTATTAATGCAGTCGGTTCATATTTCAAATGTGGCTTTATTTTTTTTGTAGTCTAAACAAAACCAATAATCCTGAGCCGTGGGAAACACTGGACCCATCAAAGCCACAGAAGGTAAAAATTTGGAGTTCAAAAATATCATAACAATAATAATGTATTGTGTATGTGCAGTGCCTCTGTCATTCTCAAGGTCAATTTACATCAGCTGTGAGGAGCCATAGAGAACGTGCAGCACGCAGCAGACACTGTAAGACGGAAGTGAGCGCAGGAAGGTCCCACTTTAGCGCTAAGACCAGAGGAGGTAGAGCAGTGACGGATATAGCTGAGGTGTAGAGTGTGGGGGCGAGAATAAATACAGCACAGTAACATAACTTCAACTTTTTTATATATCTTTTCCTGCTCTACTTGTTTAGATTCCAGTGTACTTCAGATCACTATCTGAGTTTGTGCTGGTGTGACTTACTTGAGTTTATTCAGTCAGCAGTACTGAGGCAGCAGTGGCACAGCAACAAGGTAGTGATGAGGCAGCGCTGAGGTAGCAATGAAGTAGCGATCAGGTGGCAATGAGGTCTTAACAACAATGACGTAGTGTTGAGGTATTGATGAGGCAGCAGCAAAGTGTTAATGAGGTAGTGATGAGACAGTAATTAGGTAAGAATGAGGCAGAGGTAGTAATGAAGCACAGGTGAGGCAGTGATGAGGTAGTAATGAGGCAGCAATGAGGTAGTGTTGAAAATGAGGTAGTGTTGAGGCTTTGTTAAGGTAAAGATGAGGTACTAATGCGAAGACAGTAATAAAATAGTAATGAGGCAGCAATGAAATCGAAATTTGGCAGTTAAGAGGTAGTAAAGTAGCAGTAATGAGGCAGCACTGAGGTAGCGATGAAGTAGCAATCAAGTAGCAATGAGGAATGAGCAATGAAGTGTTAATGAGGTAGTAATGAGGCAGCAATGAGATATTAAGGAGGCAGTAATTAGGTAACATTGAGCTAGTAATGAGGCAGATAAGGTAGCGATGAGGCAGCAGCGATATAGTAATGAGGCAGCAATGAGGCAGCGATGTGGTAGATGAGACAGATATGAGGTAGCAGTGTAGCAGGGATTTTCCAGAGATAAGGCAGTGATGAGGTATTAATGAGGCAGCAATTTTCCACAAGTCAGGCAGTAATGAGGCAGTGATTTTTCAGAAGTGAGGCAGTGATGAGGTAATAATGAGGCAGCGATTTTCCGGAAGTGAGGCAGTGATGAGGTAATAATGAGGCAGCGATTTTCCAGAAGTGAGGCAGTGATGAGGTAGTAACGAGGCAGCGATTATCCAGAGATGAGGCAGTGATGAGGTAGTAATAAGGCAGCAATTTTCCAGAAGTGAGGCAGTGATGAGGTAGTAATGAGGCAGCAATTATCCAGAGATGAGGCAGTGGTGAGGTAGTAACGAGGCAGCAAATTTCCAGAGATAAGGCAGTGATGAGGTAGGAATAAGGCCTCAATTTTTTAGAGATGAGGCAGAGATGATCTTTATAATCCTCTTTGTGCTTCATACCGGGAAAATGTTCTGCGTTGCGATGAAAAACTCGGAAAATGTCGACATCCTAAAAAAAGTGTGTAGCCATGGTGACCACTCAGCACTGTCAGAGACCCCCCCACCCCGCACTCTAATCCACTCTCTCTCTATCTCTGTCTCTCTTCAGCTCATCACCATAAAGCAGGAGTGGAAGCCTGTGGAGGAGCTCCAGATTGTGAAGGGTCTCACCAAGTAAACACATCACCTCCATCCTGCGACCCTGTCCATCCCTCCGTCCCTCCATCCTTCACTCCCTCCATCTCTCTCTCTCTCTCGCCCGCGCGCCCTCTGCTCACCAGTCTCGCGGAATCTTTCCCGCACAGACTCGCGCTCACAGGCTCAGTGTGCGGAAACGCTTCTGCTGTATTGGTGAGATCTCATTGCGTGGGCGGGGCTTAGAGTGCTTGCGCTCCCTATGGGGGTAAGGGGAGGGTTGATTATTATATTATATATATTATATATGTGATTTGCATATATCTAATTGAATAAAAATGTGCAGAGCTGCACTGTGCTGTAACATACTACTGTTATGTAATAATGTGCTATGAATGTGTACATATTGGTGCTGAATAAATTAATGTGTTTATCAAAAGAGCTTGTCTCTTAAACTGTTTTAGACTTTCAGAGCTGTGGTTAGATGATTTTTTTAATGTTGGTTAATTTTTGTTTTATCAGTTATGTGTTATTGCTTTCCTGCCCACACCCTGACTTTACAACAATGTTATCTGAGCTTGCCTGACCTCAGCAGTGTAGTCCATTAGCATTGTAGGAATATAATTTCTCATTAGGCTAAAAGCAGCTGCCTCCAGCTCACTGTAACCCCGCTGAGTCACTGGGCTTTTAACATAATTACACTTGGAACTTCCCTCCAGCAGCAGCTACGCCGTCAACATGTTTATTGTGGTGGTAAAAAAGCCTCCAGCAAAATAAAGACGGCAGGGAGTGACTCCAGTGTGATCAGCGCTGCAGGCTTCAGACGCCTACTCACACAATGCTGCTGCTGTCCAGGCTTTCATCCTGAATGTGCATTCGCAGCAAACACTTCCACATCATCTGGACTGAAGCTCTGAAGTGGAGATTAATGTCTTAGTTGTCATTTTCTTGTAGCGAATTTCAAAAATAAAGTACTAAAATGTCAAATAAATGCGCAACACTGCTGCATGTTGAGGAGAAACACTGAGTGTGTTTACTTGCTCTTAATAATCTGATAACTGCAGAAAATTAGATTCTGTCAGTAACGGGTTCAGTGTGTTTACACTTAATAATCTGAAAAATGCTGAAAATCAGATTGTGTCAGTAACTGGTTCATTGTATTTACACCTAATAATCTGATAACTGCAGGAAATCAGATTGTGTCAGTAACTGGTTCATTGTATTTACACCTAATAATCTGATAACTGCAGGAAATCAGATTGTGTCAGTAACTGGTTCAGTGCGTTTACACTTAATAATCTGATAGCTGATAGATCATAAATCATATGAACATTATAGAGCACTTTTTAAATGAAACAATAGAACTTCCTACACTTCCTGTAGTGTATTATAGTCTGTCAGAATAACTGTGCGGATCATATGAACATTATAGAGCACTTAAATGAAACAATAGAACTTCCTACACTTCCTGTAGTGTATTACATTGTATCACTAAACGTTCTTAAAAAGAAATTTCTTCCTTACACCCATTTATGCAGTTATTGTGAAGATTCTGACATTCACCAATGTTTTCTTATTTGGGATTCCTTCTTAGGTAAGAACAGAATCTACACACAATCAAGAGCACAAAAGAACAAATTTAAGAAAAAACTTGGTGAATTCATATTAGTGAATGAGGTCCATTGACTTCATGGACTAATCTGTGCATCCCTACTGTGCAGTGGAACAGTCATTAGACTCTCATCCAGTCAGAAAGCTGTATGAGGAATTGAAAGCCGGGTTGTTATCAGCAGTTCCAGGCTGTGAGGAAGGACATGTTGTGGTTATACTGGGAGAAAAATGGGTCACAGCACATTTGCACATGCTAAAAAAGGAAGCCAATCTGTGTGTAAGCATGTGACTGGAGTAGTTTTTGGGAGTGCATTGTGCTTCTCTGCACACCATCATGGCTGTAATCTGTAATCTAATCCACAGTCTATCATCTGATCACTCTGATTGACTCCATGCTCAGTGAAACGTGGAGAACGTAGATTCTGAAATGTTCTGCTGCGAGGAAACGAGGGCTCAGAGCTGTGTGTGTGTGGAAGGAAGGGGTGGAACTCTTACTACACGTCCATGATGATTTTTCAAGGTCAGACGTGATTCTCCATGCAGCTCACGACTGTCATAAACTCCAGCGCTGTGCTGTGGACGCTGGTAGCAGGAAGCACTTTTTCTTCTCTGGACATTATTGCTCCTGCAGGATGTAGCAGACATAAAGGAGCGATGCTGTGAAGGTCCCTGTGGAATGTCACTATGGCGACCATGAGGAAGTGGAGCCCTGTTTTTCCGTTCAGGGACACTCACCTCTGGACTGTCTTTCACACTCAGTCCCTCTGACTGTCTCTGCTGCCTCAAATTAACCAGTCTTAAAGGAATAGATCAGTCACAAAGCTAATGTTGCTAACAAAGAATGAAAGTGAATAGCCACTAATTAGCATTATGCAAAAGGAGTCATGCTGATTATTGGTAGTAGTTTTCATTTGTTCTTTCTGTAGTTATGTAAAATCTCTCTCTCTGTAAAAACTACACACACTGCAGATTCATACTGGATTAAAATTGCTCCACAATTATTACCGTTAGACTGTAAAAACTACACACACTGCAGATTCATACTGGATTAAAATTGCTCCACAATTATTACCGTTAGACTGTAAAAACTACACACACTGCAGATTCATACTGGATTAAAATTGCTCCACAATTATTACTGTCAGACTGTAAAACTACACACTGCAGATTCATACTGGATTAAAATGACTCCACAATTATTACTGTCAGACTGTAAAACTACACACGCTGCAGATTCATACTGGATTAAAAAGACTCCACAATTATTACTGTCAGATGTAAAACTACACACGCTGCAGATTCATACTGGATTAAAATGACTCCACAGTTATTACTGTCAGACTGTAAAACAATGCACACTGCAGATTCATACCCGATTAAAATCGCTCCAGTATTACTGTTTGGGACAGACTCCTCTCAATAGAAAGTACCCAATAAATGATGATTGTATATATCTAGCTGATTACTATCTCTATTAATGCCTTGGGTTTGAATAGATCATAACATAATACTTGTAAATGTCTAAGGTCTAAATACTGATTTTTTTATTTATATGTACATATAGAGAGATATATATAGAACTTCTCTTGTGAAGTTTTCATTTTGGAGATACAACAGCAGCAATATATTTTTGAACTAATTAATTCAGTTTGAACTAATTTGGTATAAAGGTCCATATATGCATGAGGAGCATAAGAATTCTGCCAGAAGACGCCAAACTTTTGACTGGTACTGTATATGTAGTGCATACATGTGCTCCATTTACTAAAGTCAGAGTGGAATCTGCACTGTGTGTGTGTGTGTGTGTGTGTGTGTGTTTAGGTGTGAGTGAATTCTTTGCGTGTTTTGTTGACCAGTTGTTGTGTCCATCAGTCTCACCCTTCACTCAGGATGTCCAGCTTTTTGTTCTTAGAGCAGAATTCCACCAGTCAGAGATGCGTGGGGTTAAACAGTAACTCTAAACCCCACAGTGTGTGTGTGTGTGTTAATGTGACTGTTACACCCTGCTGTCTTCACCCACACGACAGTCATGTGATGGGGAAGCAATGTGTGTTTTTTTAACTGTCATCATTATCTCTCTCTCTCTCTCTCTCTCTCTCTCTCTCTCTCTCTCTCTCTCTCTCTCTGTGACTGTTTGAGCTGAGCCTTCAGTTTGGCCAAATCAAGGGAAAACACTTCTATAGTCATGCTAATTTCTGCTTGCGCTCCTATGAGATTTTATTAGTACATTGGTACTTAGCTAAGCGTAATGCTCAAGTACAGTTTTTGGCCATTCTGGATTAAACATTCACATTTGAAGCTTGTAAAGTCATTTCATATGTTCTACTTGAAGTTTGTAACAAACACCATCATATATCTGAGCTTGTGTGTATCAGTGTTACAGTGACTCTTTCAGTATTGAGTTCTGACATAGAGCTGCCGCCGCTGTTTTACATTCCTAACAACTAACCAGAACCTGCTTAGACTACGGCTCGTATTTACAGTGAGGTATCTAGAATGTCCAGAATATTTTTTCACTCACTCAGTGTAAATCAAAGCGTGACTAGTTGATTCACTTCCTAATTATGTTGGTAGTTAATCTAATGATTAAGGCCTTCAGTCCAGCTCATGAAGTCCTAACCAATAAGAGAGCAGCTTCACTGTATCTGCCTAGATACCACAGAGAGAACAAATCTGATTGGATCATTTTACCACTGGGCGTTTCAAGAATTTACCCCTTATTTTCTGACCGAAAGTTAATAAAGAATAAATAGTATTACTACAGTACTTATGGAGTTTAAATATCAACTACGATAATTCTATTAAATACAAATAGCTAAAAATAGCTGATTTTTTAGACCTTCTCTGTACACCTAGAAGGTACTAAAGGTTCCACACTGCTCAACGCACAGTTTTAGGAATGTATGTGTGTTTAAAGTGCTGCCCAACACACACACACTAACAACCTGACTCAAATATCTGCACTGTGATGAGGCTCTGTGCTGATGGGCGGTAAATGAAGGCAGATATTTTTGGAGGTTTCTTTGATGCTACACATGCGTGCATCCTGGTCTGTCTCAGCACTGCGTTGTTATGGCAATCGCAGGTTAGAAGGAGTAGCATTTTTCCATTCAGGGCCGCTGGGTTGCTGACCTTGAGTTTGACCTTTACCCTGGCTATGTCTGAAACGTGACAAACGGTGCTACTCAGAGGTGACGGTGGTGATGTATCATGTATGCCAAGTGTGGGAAGATCACAAAGTAACTGCAGTTCAGTGAAAGTGTGGGTACTGTGGCAAAATCTCATTCAGTTACAAGTGGGAGCTGAAAATATTCTTGTGGAAGTAAAAAAGTATATACAAATAGAAATAAATGTCCTAACATATACTGTTAAAAGTCTTTGTTTTTGGTTGTGTGCGGTTTTGGCTGTGTGGTGCGATGATGTGTGGTGTAGTGGTGTACGGTTTGGTACTGTGTTGTGTAGTACTGTACAATGTGTGCACTGTGGTAGTGTGCAGTATGGTGGTGTGTTATATGATAGTGTGTGGTACTGTGATGGTCAGCAGTGGGGTCGTGTGTAGTACAGTGGTGTGGTACTGTGTGATGGTGTGCAGACAGTGGTGTGTGGTACTGTGTGATGGTGTTCAGTGCACACCAGTACTGGACCAGTTACTGACACAATCTGATTTTCTGCAGTTATCAGATTATTAACAGCATGAAAACACACTGAACCAGTTACTGACACAATCTGATTTTCTGCAGTTATCAGATTATTAAGTGTAAAGACACTGAACCAGTTAATGACACAATCTGATTTTCTGCAGTTATCAGATTATTAACAGCATGAAAACACACTGAACCAGTTACTGACACAATCTGATTTTCTGCAGTTATCAGATTATTAGGTGTAAACACACTGCACCAGTTACTGACACAATCTGATTTTCTGCAGTTATCAGATTATTAAGTGCATGAAAACACACTGAACCAGTTACTGACACAATCTGATTTTCTGCAGTTATCAGACCATCAAGTGTAAACACATCATGATGTGCACATCGATGGTGTGTGGTATGGTGGTGGTGGTGTGCCGTTGTGGTCCTCACAAAAAGACAAATTCAGTCATGGGCAGTATTATTTTACACTGATGTGAATTTGACTGGTAATTATAATTGAACTAAGACATTGAACTATAATTGAAATAATACTAAGATGTACAAGTATTCAGTTTCACCAATCACGGGCTGCAGTCTGGGACACAGCCTCTGATTGCTGTTACTTCAGACGCAGACAAGAAATGTTGATGGATTGAGCAATAAGGTGTGCCCTGTGTCTTTCTCGTCTGAGGGTGTGTTTGTGGTGGAAAATGCAGAATCATTGTGGAGGAGTGGCATTATTTTCATTCTCTTCCTGCTTTCTGCTGTTTCATCATGACAGCAGTTTCTTTATGACAGCACAGTACAATACCCTGATTGTACAGTAATTCAGTGCACTATCCTGTTTAACCACACTGTGTCACATATTGGTGACAGTTAAGGCCCTGTAGGCCAGGTCTACTTTTTTACATTCTCATACTGTATTTTCCTGTGTATTTATTATATTGTTGGGCTTTGAACCTAGTTTGATGCTGTTGTGCATTTACCATGTTCTACATTAGTGCTCTCTTATTTAATTGTAACCTACCGCTGTGCCTCAACTGTATACTGAACACAAATCCTTTTTCTGCTCAGTTCAGTTCAGTTCAGAGTACTTTATTAATCCCAAAAAGGGCAATTCATTTGCATCCCCGTCCATAAGCACAACTATACATATATATATATACACATATACATACACACACTCATACATACATATATACATGCATACACATACATACACACATACATATACATATAAAATAAAAAAATAAAAAAAAAGAATTATATATGTCAGAGACACCAAATACATAGAGACAATAAATAGCTATAACAATCATTTAAAAAGACTGTTATCCACATTTAGTAGCCTGATAGCAGAAGGAATAAAAGCCCAGGTCTCTCTGTTGGACTCCAATTATCTTTGAACAGATTTTTACAATACCATTCAGGCTATTCTTGTCCCTCACCGACAGCCCGTTAAACCAACAAATAAATGAAAAAGTTAAAACACGTTCAATAAATGACTGATAAAAATTGCACAACACCGTATTACAAACATAAAAAAGAATTCATTTCAGGCAGTAAATGAGTTCTTTGTTGACCCTTCTTAACAACCAGCTCTGTGTTTGCATCAAATTTAAGTTGGGTGTCAAATACTGTTCCTAAGTACTTATATGTGTCCACAATTTGTACCTCTTTTCCATGTATGATACTAGCTTTTGGTTCCTTTTTATTTTGCCTGAAATCTATAATTAGATTCTTTATTAAATTAAATTATTTTTCCAGATATGCAGTATGTAGTATACTCACAAGGGCCACAGTTAATGGACCCAGAAAAATACAGTGGGAAAACTTAATTGTTGAAGTTTTGTTTGGAAGCAAAAGAGTTCTTGACATGGCCAACAGAAAATTATCCAATCAGGATTGTTCTCTCTGTGGTATAGAAAGTGACAGAGGAATCAACAAGTTGATGTACATTGGTGTAGTGAAAAAAAGTCTTCTGGAAGTTCTAGATACATCACTGAATGTGAAAATGAACCATAGTCTAAGCAGTGTTCCGGTTAGTTGTTAGGAATGTAAAACAGCGCAGGCAGCTCTATCAGATATATGATAATCAGATTTATGATATGATTCCTGAAGTTGGTGACTTTAGGAAGCAAGAGAAAGTGCACACCCCCATCATCATCAGTGGAGCCACTGTAAAAAGGGCCAGCAGCTTCAAGTTCCTCGGTGTTCACATCACAGAGGATCTGACATGGACCGAACACACCACAAGGGTGGTAAAAAAGGCACAACAGCGCCTCTTCTACCTCAGGTGGCTAAGGAGGTTTGTCATGAACCCCTGCATCCTCAGAACATTTTACATATGCACTGTGGACAGCATTCTAACAGGCTCCATCACCACCTGGTATGGGAACTGCTCTGCCATCAAGCTGAACAGTCAGTAGTGCTAATGTATCAGTCTATAGGCCTGTCACTGCACCTCTGAGTCATCGTCATGATGATCTCCATGGACAATCTACACCTCATCCACATCTCGACCTTCTATATGTGCAGTATATACTTAAACATATAGATACAGAAGTATAGTAGTTTTAACATTTAAATTGAAGGCTCAATTATAATTGTCACAGTTCGCGTACATGCGTACTTATAATGGGTTGATTTTTGAGTAAAGGTGTTGATGGATCCCACAGCATAGTGCGAAGCAGCTAGCTAGCAAACTGGGACTTACATATAAGGTTAATGCGGATGAGTATCGAGAACCAATACTAAATTGGTACCAGCTCCTGACTGATCAGTAACGAAATATCACCAAGTTCCTTGGAAAATGGTGCTACTATCTGTATTTTTTGTGAGCTGGAGTTACATGCAGGCGCTGCACCATTTAAAGTGGAACGGGAAGATTCAACTTCAAGCTGACTTCAGCCTTGTGTTAAAACTGCAGGTAGGATAGTTTGATAGTCTAAATGTCTTTATCAGAAGGATTTATCACAAAGTTTGCAGCATTAGAAGAATAATGAGAATATTCTGAGAGCCTAAATCAGTTCATCGGGGGGAAGTAGTGATATTAAGCTGAGTCTGTCCTGAATTAACATTTGGTAGCTAGCATAGCATAATTGGCTAACTGCTAGGTAGCCTAAGTGTGAGCTTAGCGTGAGCCATCCTGATAACCAGGGTAAATAATTCTGTATCGATTACGCTTATTAATATTTTCAGCTGTAGAGAGATAACCAGACCCTTCACATCTTTTCATGTCGTCTTTTGTTTTTTGCACCAAATTATGGAGACTTTGTAGCAATAAGAGTAGCATTGTTCAATTAGCAGTAACGGTATCGATAAAATCGTAACAATACCTATCCCTACAGGTTAATAATGCTGCACTACTGTACAGGAGCCTCATTGTCATCTAAAAGAAATAAAATAAAAAGTTAAAAACTAAAATAAATAAACCTTTTTGTTGTTCAAAGCTAAACTAAAGCATAGCAACATCACTTCATCAGCTCCAGTTAATGCCAAATGGAGCAGTGCATTAATATGCTTGCCTATTAACCTACCAAAGTCTTACATTATTAAGATTAGTACACAGTATAGAACTTACAGGGCCAGTTACCCAATCCCAGATTAAAACTAAGCCTAAAGACAATTCATCATTAGCACTGCCAAAAAGACTAGGTTTAATCCATGCCTGTTGGTGTAATCCATGCTGGCACAGTACTGATCTGTGTCTGAGAACTGTTTTCTGACTGAACAGCTCACAAGTTTGATTCCAGCCGTGTTCCAGAGCAATCCGCCTCATGCCTGGCTGCTCCAGATGGGATGGATCCGCCTCGGGCTAAACTGCTGTGTGTAAATGGTAAATAGCATAGACGGAGGGCGGAGCTGCTGGTGCTGTTAACCTGTGAGCACTGAAGGAGAGTAAATAAAGGCAGCTCCACAGTAACATCACCATCTGCCTTCACAGCAGAGAACACAGCACTGACACACTCCGCACTCATTACCAGATAAAATATTGACAGTTAGATAAAGTTTCAGTGTGACGTGGAAAAAACAACGGAGCAGCTGTGTTGACAAAACTTTGTTTTCTTCTTGTTTTGCAACGCTTAATGTGTAATCTTTAAAGAATTTACATCAATTTGTCAATGGTTCACAATGGTGGTGATAGGAACCAGACATCCACCTTTAAAAGCTCCCTCACATAAAGTTATTACATGAAATAGTCATTTAGTGTATTCAAAACTAAGATGTTGTTTTATGATAGTCATGATGCGGAGGGATACATGCAGAGGCAAACGGGCCCCAAAGAAAACAGATTATTTGAGATTTTCCACTATTTTCCCATTATCAACATTCCACTCTGAATCACTCTGTTTACATCTCACACACTGAATTAAGGGGAAATTTTAAAGAATAATTGGTGGAATTCCCCTTTAACAGTGCTTGTGTCTCATAAAACATTCTGAAATGAACAAACTCTGGGCCTATATGCATCTAACAGGCCTGTCCACATTTTATGGTTAAATACTTTTGACAAACAAGTGGAAGTGAAAGACAGCAGTAACTCTTTAACCAGAGACGAGTTAACCGCTCACTCTTTCACATCTGCAGCTTCACTAATGCAGCTGGCGCCACCCAGTGGTGAAAAGAGGTACACACAAAATGTGAGGGCCTTTAAAACAGGTTTATTTCAAGTTATCAGGAGCTTAACTCATCAGAGTGGAGATCATTTCAACCCCACTCCAAACGCTCCTCAACAAAAACACTGCAAAAATGAGTAATTAATTACTGTTCAAGTTATGAGAATGTGCAAAATATCAGAACTTAATTACTTAATTACAAAAATTAAAGAAAAGTTAAAATAACAAAATACAAAAAAATACAGTTGAGTTATGTGTGATATGCAAACAAATATCAAATCTGCAACTAAACTTTTTTTCTGAAAAGTAAACATTAAATAAAATAAGTGATTAAAAAGGCATTGATTGAAGTCGAGTCTGGCATACGTGACAATCTGTTGGTACCACAAGTTTTCTCACACAGCAGTTTTCCGGAAAAGGCACGTGCACCCTCCCTCCAAACTTCTTTTGCATTGTGGTTCTCGGTGTTTCCCGCTGTGCTGAGGTTTATGTGGCACGGTGAGAAACGCAGTGGAAGGCAGGATTTTTACAGCAGTCCGATTGTCAGTTGCATGTTTTAACAATTCGGTCAGCATTTGCAATGTGTCAGTTCAAACAGAAAGCAGGTTGAGGTTGTGATGGCTTGGAGACTGATGACCACATGCTGTTAGCCTAGCACCAGACCAACTTAGCCTAGAGCCAATCTAATTTAGACTAGAGCTAGACTAGCTTCATTATCCAAGACTGGCTTAGACTAGAACCAGACTAGCTTAGACTAGTGCCAGCCTAGTAGGTTCATTAGCCTAAACTATCTTAGACTAGAGCCAGACTCATTTAGACTAGAGCTAGATTAACTTCATTAGCCTAGACTAGAACCAGACTATCTTACACAAGTGCTAGTCTAGCTTCATTAGCCTAGACAAAATTAGACTAGGGCCAGACTAGCTTCATTAGCCTAGACTAGAGCCAGACTAGCTTAATTGGCCTAGTCTAGCTTTATTAGACTACCTGGACTCAGGCTACATTTCTCAGCCTAGAACCAGAATAGCTTCATTGGCCAGGAGCAAGTCTTACTTCTCCTAGAGCCAGACCAGCTTAAACCAGAGTCAGGCTAGGCTAAGCTAGAGCCAGACCAGCTTTGGCAAACTATAGCTTAGCCTAGAGCAAGACTAGTTTATACTAGAGCCAGGCTGGCATAGCCTATAGCCAGAATAACCCTGAGCCAGGCTACTTTTTTGGCCAAGAGCCAGACTAGCTTCTTTAGCCAGACTAGCTTTGGTAGGCTACAGCTAGACTGGCTTATCCTAGAGCAAGACTAGGTTAATGTAGAGCCAGATTATCTTTAGTTTAGTGCAATGCTTCCCCTGAGGGGTGGTTCACAAAGTGAGATTTCTCAGTTTAGCTGGACCACTTAAGCCCAAAACGAGGACTGTCTTATTGGAATTGTTCTTTAGACAGGCTTGACTTTCAACTTATCCTCTTACAGAATACAAGCTTTTTATTATTCCCAATATTGAACATCTACTGTAAATTATTGAGCATCTACTATGAAACTAATGTGCAAGTTCTATAGTAATGAACTGAAGTGGATCCAATACAGACCCTTACAAAGGGTTTGTTTAAAGGGTTATCTGGCTAACTGGGAAACCAGTTTTGTGAAATATCTTGCAGTATAGTTTTTCCTGACTCAGCACACCTGATTTAACCTATGAGGGTCATTATTTATCTGAATCGGGTGTGTTAAAGCAGGGAAAACAGTAAAGTGAGCACTTATATGGACCTCAAGCAGCATTTCATAAAGCAGGATTTTACAGTTAGCAACAGCCATCACTTTGAGCTTAAACTATCCAGCCAAATTGAGAAGTCTGCCAGGAAATGAGAAACCTCATCTAAGAGTCAGTATAACACTAAGTGTAAACCAAATCCAGGCTCTCTGAGACCAGGCTGGAAAGGAGTGGACCAGGAGATAAACTGTGGAGCTTCAGCTGGGTCCAGTTTGGCTTTTTTGAGCCTGCTTGGTGGTTTAATATCTCCATCAGATCACAGCTGATTTATTAAACTCCTTTGTGCTTGTGAAGGATGAGCTGGACAGACTCAACATATCATCACAGAAGATTAGCAAAAATAAAATTAAACCACACAATGTGGTCCAAACAAAAAATTGAGCATTCTACTCTTTACAGAACCGTATGGAAGATTTCTTTATCAAAAGTGAGCGAAGTTCATCCTGAAGTTTAGAAACAGCTGGACGTTGGGCATTGGTTAAAATTCCATTTTGGCAGAACGGTCACTCCGCTGCCTTTGGCTTGGGCTCTGCGGTTGCATAGCAACACATCTACTTTCACAGTAGCAGCGTGAAGTTGATGCTTGGTGCGCGAGTGTGTGTGTGTAAGCGTGTGTGTGAATTCAGGCACTCAGTAGGCAGTTGGAGCAGGAGTGTGGCGCCCCCTGCCTGCGGCTCTGCAGCTGCACCGTGCAGTGAGACACACCGTATGACATCATCAAGACATGACGAACTTTCGTCTGCACCTCCTCCCACATCCCCACGCTGCCCGGCGCTGGAGAGGGGAAAAAAAAATCACTGTTATTCCTAAAACACACTCATCGGCCACTTTATTAGAAACACTTACCTTGAACTTCTGCTCCCCTAGCCTAGGGCCAGGCTATTTTTGCTAGTCTAGAGCCAAACTAGCTTAACCTAGAGCCAGACTAGTTTCATTAGTCTAGAGCCAGACTAGCTTAACCTAGAGCCAGACTAGTTTCATTAGTCTAGAGCCAGACTAGCTTAACATAGAGCCAGACTAGTTTCATTAGTCTAGAGCCAGACTAGCTTAACATAGAGCCAGACTAGTTTCATTAGTCTAGAGCCAGACTATCTTGACATAGAGCCAGACATGTTTCATTAGTCTAGAGCCAGACTAGCTTAACCTAGAGCCAGACTAGTTTCATTAGTCTAGAGCCAGACTAGCTTAACATAGAGCCAGACTAGTTTCATTAGTCTAGAGCCAGACTAGCTTAACATAGAACCAGACTAGTTTCATTAGTCTAGAGCCAGACTAGCTTAACCTAGAGCCAGACTAGTTTCATTAGTCTAGAGCCAGACTAGCTTAACATAGAGCCAGACATGTTTCATTAGTCTAGAGCCAGACTAGCTTAACATAGAGCCAGACTAGTTTCATTAGTCTAGAGCCAGACTAGCTTAACCTAGAGCCAGACTAGTTTCATTAGTCTAGAGCCAGACTAGCTTAACATAGAGCCAGACATGTTTCATTAGTCTAGAGCCAGACTAGCTTAACATAGAGCCAGACTAGTTTCATTAGTCTAGAGCCAGACTAGCTTAACCTAGAGCCAGACTAGTTTCATTAGTCTAGAGCCAGACTAGCTTAACATAGAGCCAGACATGTTTCATTAGTCTAGAGCCAGACTACTTTGTGTGAATTCAGGCCTAAGTAGGCAGTTGGAACAGGTGTGTGGCACCCCCTGCCTGCAGCTCTGCAGCTGCACCGTGCAGTGAGAAGACACACTGTATGACATCATCAAGACTATGACTTCATAGTCTACAGTCTAGAGCCAGACAAGCTTAAGTAGAGTCAGACTAGTTTCATTAGTCTAGAGCCAGTCTAGATACTCACTGAGTTGCAGGTGAGCGATCGCTGCAGTTTTATCAGCTGTCAGTGCCCACAACTTCAACTCCTCTACTGCTTCCACATTCTCCAACTTCAACAAATCAGCCTTCATCACACTCACATCCAGGTGCCGAGGAACACCTACAGAGAGAGAGAGAGAGAGAGAGAGAGAGAGAGAGAGAGAGAGAGAGAGAGAGAAATGAGAAAGAATATAAAATAAATAAATAAAAACAAAAGAGAATTAAAAAGTACAGAAGGACTCTTCTCTGCTCTGGTCAGTTTTGGAAACTTCCAGAGTCTCATTAGAACCTTTTGCTTCCCCGAGAGGGAGAGATGTCATCATTAATTTTAATCAAAGTTATTAATCCCTGTTTTGGACATCAGTCGAAGCAGATTTAATATTAATCCCGCTGTGTTGATTAAGCCCACTGGGTTTAACTGATTTTCCATCACAGTGACAGACATTCCGTTATACTGTGCATCCACTACACCTCACCACTTCCTTCAGGGGAAGAGGAATCAGCCCTGTCTTAAAGGGCCAGTATCAGAGAAAATCTAGCTTCCCTTCACTTTTGTTTGATGAATGTAAACATTAATTTAAACATTAAAATTTAACACACACCATTATATACAGACTTTAGAGTTATTTTATTTCCAGTCAAAACAGACATTAATCCCATTTTACCCCTGAAGAACCCTTAAAGAACCATCTTTAAAAATGTGCTCTTGCTTCAGATCTGAAAACATCCACAGTTGTTTCTGTCCATCCTCCCACTGTGATGACATGAAGACAACTCAGCACTGAAAGGTCTGAAAAGGAGAAGGAAACAAAAGAACACAAAGGAAAAAAAATAAAGATTTGTGAGAGAACTCACCCTCCAGCAGTATGAGGCCGGTGTCTCTAATGATGCGGAACGTGGTGACCAGCACCAGCACGGAGAACACGTATGTGCACACAGGGTCAGCCAGTTTATACTCCGGCTAGAACAAAATACATATTTACATACATACAGAGACACATATAATATTATAAATAATGACGCTGTGTCTGCTTCACACAGCAGTGTTCAGCTGTGAGACTCGCCCTGTACGCACACAAACACATTCAGTAACACTGTGAACTCTCACACATCACTGGGCCTCGTTCTCTAATATCCTTCTAAGTTTGTTCTTAAATTCTTGTTCTTGAGGAAGGTCCTAAGAAAAAATCTACGTCAGATTCATGACGTGTTCTTAAAGCGCAGAACTGTTCTCACCCTCACACCTCTTCTTAAGCAAGATTAATGAACAATGTTCAATATTTAAATATCAGAACTAAATATCAGTGGGCCTCATTCACCAACCACTCTTAAGAAGAAATTTCTTTTTAAAACCCACTTTTAAACCCACGCAATTTTCAACAGTTCTGTGGTTCCGGAACACGTCATGAATCTGACGTAGTTTTTTCTCAAGAACACACATAAGAAAAAAGATATTTGTGAATATTTGAGGCCCAGTGTTATTCACGCTTTAGCACTGAGAAAACACATCAGACAGAAACTCGGTTCAGGCATAAATGTAACCACATAGACCACACAAAACTCAGATAAACGTGTACAAAGATTCTAATCTGATGCTTCAAAAATTCCGATTTCAGATAATAAGTACGAAGCTGTAAACCAAAATGAACAGATCTGCAGAATATCAAGAATCAAGTTCTTATAAAAATGTATATCCAGAATGAAGTTCTAAACAAATATACAGAAGGAAGATAATATTGTCAAGAATTATTAGTGTCAAGAATGAAGTACGCATAAAATGAAAAAGTTATAATAAAATTAAAAATAGACTGAAAAACATACTACTCTAAACCAAGTGGTGATCAAAACGTGAAGCTGACAAATCATCATAAAATTACTGTAAATTGATAATTATAGTATATATTATTTGCCATTTGAAGGTTAGGGAACCAGCCTTGTGACTGGAAGGTTGCTGGCTCGATCCCCTGTGACTGAAGTGCCCTTGAGCAAGGCACCTAAACCCCAACTGCTCCCTGGGCGCTGTGGATATGGCTGCCCACCGCTGTGGGCAAGTGTGCTCACTGTCCCCTAGTGTGTGCACTATTCACTAGTGTGTATGTGGGTGTTTCACAGCATGGATGGGCTAAAATGTGGAGGTGGAATTTCCCCGTTGTGGAACTCATAAGGGTAACTTAATAAAACATCTAAAACATCTTCTGTTGATTCCAGAATGTTTGAGAAGCAGTGTGTGTGCTTCTTGCTGCCGTTGTAAGGACCAAATGTCCTCACAATGATAGGACAACATGAAATTTTGTGTGCGTGTGTGTGTGTGTGAGTGTGAGAATGTGTACCTTAAATCTGACGATGTAAGCTGCAATTAGAACGCCGATGCTCTGCACCAGGTCCCCCAGAGCGTGGATAAACGCTGCCCGCACCGCCAAGCTGCCATCGCCCTGCTGACCCTGTGCTGACGGCTGGGAGTGTGTGTGGCCGTGAGAGTGTGCGTGAGAGTGCAGGTGACCCGACTGGTTCAGGAGGAAGCCCATTCTACACAAAAACACACACACACACACAGTTTAGACAATAATGATGTTCCAGTTGCTAACTAATTCTATAAACAGCTTGTTTCTCAAAAACCGAGAATTCTCACAACAAGAAAATATAACCGTAATTTCAGGTTCTGAACACACTTCATCGCTAGTCTGAGCTGTGGTTTCTGTAACAACCCTCTGAGGTACATGTCATCATTTTGCATTTGGCTATTAGCCATTTGTTCATATGGCTACTTTCTCGAAAACCAAAGGACAGCTTGAGAAAGTTTTGGTGGAGAAGGTTGGTGTGTGTAGAAGAATGATGCAGTTCAGAGGAGAATGACGAGTGCGGTGTCTGGTGGAAAATTACAGTGTTTGGTTGAAAATGAGGCTGTTTGGTGGAGAGTGATGCCGTTTTGTTGGACAGTGATGCTTATGATGAGCGTTCAAGAACAATGCCGCTTGGTTGAGAATCAGGGCATATGGTGGAGAACGATGCTAAATGGTGGAGAGTGATGGCGTTTAGTTTGAAAATGATGATGGGTTTAGAATGATGGTATTCGTTGGAGAATGATGGCGTGTACTGGAGAATGACTGTGTTTGGTGGGGCGCAAAGGCATTTGGTGTACAGAGATAGTGTCTAGCTGAAGAATCATGATGTTGGGTTTAGATTGATGCTGTTGAGGGTGATGCTGTTTGGTGGAGAGCGATGCTGCTTGGTGGAGAGCGATGCTGCTTGGTGGAGAGCGAGGCTGCTTGGTGGAGAGCGAGGCTGCTTGGTGGAGAGCGATGCTGCTTGGTGGAGAGCGAGGCTGCTTGGTGGAGAGCGAGGCTGCTTGGTGGAGAGTGATGCTGCGTGGTGGAGAGTGATGCTGCGTGGTGGAGAATAATGATGTTTGGTGGAGAGTGTTGCTGCTTGGTGGAGAATGCTGGCATATGGAGAATGACAGTGTTCGGTGAAGAATGCTGGTGTTTGGTGAAGAGCGATGCTGCATGGTGGAGAGTGGTGCTGCATGGTGGAGAGTGATGCTGTGTAGTGGAGAGTGATGCTGTTGGAGGGAGGGCGATGCTGCTGGGTGATGCTGTTAGGTGGAGAATACTGATGTTTGGTGGAGAGTGATGCTGTGTGGTGGAGAGTGTTGCTGTGTGGTGGAGAGTGATGCTGCTTGGTGGAGAACGATGCTAAATGGTGGAGAGCGATGCTGCTTGGTGGAGAGTGATGCTGCTTGGTGGAGGGCGATGCTGTTGGGTGATGCTGTTAGGTGGAGAATACTGACGTATTCATAGTGATGCTGCTTAGTGGAGAGTGATGCTGTGTGGTGGAGAGTGATGCTGCTTGGAGAATGGCATTTGGAGAATGAGAGTGCTCGGTGAAGAATGCTGGTGTTTAGTATAGAGTGATGCTGTTTGGTGCGGAATGCTGGCATTTGGGTGAGACTGATGCTGTTTGGTGGAGAATGCTGGCGTTTGGTTGAGAGTGATGGTGTTTGGTGGAGAATGGTGGTGTATAGAATGTTGGAAGTGGTTGGGGAATGACAGTGTGTGTGATCATGGTTATTAGAAAATGATGCTGTTTACTGGAGGATGTTGGTGTGCTCTGGGCTTTAAGAAAGAAGCTACTCCTGTTAAATGTGACAGCGTGTGACAGTCCTGATCTACTGCATGAAGAGTAAACATGGACTTTGAATGTGAATTGAGTGGTTTATGATCTGCAATGATGTGTAAGCAGCAAGTGATAGTGGCGTGTGTATAAGGCTGAATAATAAAAATATATGTAGAGCAGAGTTAGTACTACCTAATAAAGCCGTGTGTAGAGCAGAGTTAGTGCTGAGTAATAAAGCCGTGTGTAGAGCAGAGTTAGTGCTGAGTAATAAAGCCGTGTGTAGAGCAGAGTTAGTGTAATAAAGCCGTGTGTAGAGCAGAGTTAGTGCTGAGTAATAAAGCCGTGTGTAGAGCAGAGTTAGTGCTGAGTAATAAAGCCGTGTGTAGAGCAGAGTTAGTGCTGAGTAATAAAGCCATGTGTAGAGCAGAGTTAGTGCTGACTAATAAAGCCGTGTGTAAAGCAAGTTCATAAAACGCTATGAACTCACATCAGATTAACAGCCACGCCCACCGCAGCAGTGATCAGCATCACATCCCCATCGATGGTGAAGTCCTGGTGGAGTGTTCTCTGCACCGCCTCATTCAGCAGAACTCCAGTCAGAATATAGATCAACAAAACACTGATACCTGCAGACATCACCTCTATACATATACACACACACACACACACACACACACACAGTTTACCACAAATGGTCCACTAGCTTCACAACACTGACCTACAGCTGATACAACACGAGGACTAGAAGACGAAGAGTGTAGAGAAGAAGAGATGTGAACAGAAGAAAACAGAACAGAAGAGGGGAAAGGAAAAAGAGAAGAGAAGAGAAGAGAAAGAGGAGAGAAGGAAAAAAAGAAGAGAAAAATGAACAGAAGGAAATAAAGAGAAGAAAAAAAATGTACAGAAGGGAAGAAAGAGAAGAGAAGAGGAGTGGAGCTTACCCAGGCGCTGGAGACCAAAGGTGAATCTGTTGGTAGGGGGTTTGGCAGAGAGCCAGAGAGCCAGCAGGGACACAACGATACCGACCAGATCAGTCAGCATGTGCAGAGCGTCCGTCATTATGGCCAAACTGTTGGCTATATAACCACCTAAACAAGAAGAACGTTCATCAGTGTGTACTATAAAATGAGACACAGACAGTCTTCACTGCACAAAGTGCTGGAACCCAGGGACACAGGAAGTAGGGGGGGGAGGCTGAAGGGCTGCAGCACCCCCTGATTTCAGGATTGATTGAACTATTAAAAATAATAATAATAAAACATTCTGAACTTTACAGTAATTTGAGCAAAGACCCATGAGTGCTTGTTTTAGAGTGCATTTACATATAATAAAAATGTAATAGGCAATCACAGGAAAACACGGAAAGTTTCTGTTTTTCCAAAATCTTGGTTAATTAACTCCCAGGCATTAGTACAAATCTCTGTTGTATCAATCACTGTATGTTGTATAATTTTTATCTGCAGAATCAAGAATATTTTAACACATTAAAAATCAGAAATCAAATCTTTCCTCTTAAAAGAACTGAAAATCATACAGAACCTGACAAAATCTGCAACGTTACACCTCAGTGTTTCTCTATAAACATGGACACACTGTGTTTAGCTATGGTAATGTTTATAGATAACAGTGTGTCATACAGTGTCAGAAACCACATAATTAACTCTACACAGTTTGATTATTCAGTCATGCAGTTAGCACCATGCTAACTGGTGGGGTATAAGCTTCCCTTACTTGTTAGCTACATCAGCCTTGTAGCTCCAGTGCTAAAGCTAAAGAAGCAAACTTCAGACACCAAACACATCTGATCAACTAAGTTTGAAGTAAAGGAGGGAAAACTGGGGGATCTTTTGCTAAACGGTTGCTTTAAGAGTCCCTCTCCAGTTTCGGTTAAGGTGAATAGCTTAGTGTTTACATTTTTGTCTTGATCTCCTACGACTGATATCCTCACCAACCTTATGGTGAAACCACATCCACTTAAACTGATGAAAGAGCGCTCTGAAAACAGGAAGCGAAAGTCGCTACGCTGGAAAGAATGCAGCTCCCCACTACCAGGCTGAGACAGAAAAACAACCAGGATGAGATCATTTCTTCTATGACTCTTTCTCCAGCAGACAGAAGTCCTTACTTGTCAAAGCTGTGTAAAATCTGTCAAATCTGATTGTAAAGTGAACGCAAATTTCACCTACAGCTTTGATCTTCATCAGTTTCATCTTTGTCGTATCTGTACGATCAAACTCACGCAGGAGTGTGTGTAGCAGTTTAACAACCTAAATAAACTGCTTGGTTTGTTGTTAATCAAAGCTATTATGAATATTATATATGTATTACCAATAATAAGACTAAAAGTAGAGCATGCCATTAATACTAACAATGTGCGCAGTACAAAAGTGAATGTACTCACTTACGATATAAACAAATGCTGCAACTATTCCACAATGCATTAAAAAACAAACTGTGCTTTTGGTTTACACTACAGACTCCGCCCACAAAATAAACAATATTAAACAGAGCTAGCATCGCAGACTGCAATAATACAGCATTTAAATATGATATGTTAGGAATATAATCACAACCACATCATTCTACCACCTTAAAAACACGAGATGTTTTCGTTTTTCACATTCTACTCTTTCCAGTGGTCGTGATTTTAACATTATAAAGTGTGGTCAGCAGGGGGAGCTGTGTGCTTGCTGCTCCACCTCTAACTCCGCCTACAAGCACAGCCATTGGCTCACAAGCTGCTGAATGCTGTCATTTTATTGACTCCTTAATGAAATAGCTACATGAATTAAGGTGTGCTTCAATTAAATGATATATGAATGAGGAGCTGGTATGCTGGTACTTGGCTTCATGCACTGAAGCAGATTAGCGCTTAAATCTCTACTTGTTTGCGGGCTGTACGAAAGTTTCTTGAATCAGACGTGAAACAGTTCTTACGTCATTAAATGCAGCCAAATCTGTGCGTTTTTAAGCAACTTTGATGACTAAGGATTAAAGCAACTTTAATCCACATAATATAAGTGCAGCTCCCTGATGAGCATCACTGGGAGAGACAGCATCAAGAGAAAGTCCCGAAGAGCTTGAGGAAGAACCGCTCAGAGGAACCAGGACTCAAAAGGGGAACCTGTCCTCCTCTGAGTTGCATCTGACCGTAAGTTGATGAGCCTTTCATCAGTCCCCATTTTTCACTATAACAAAAAATATTTTATCAGCACTGCTTACTCCCGATATTATGACTGGTTGTTCTAAACAAGACGTTGTGGAACGTAATGCTTTTTAGGGAGACTATCGGTGCTTTGTTGGTGCACTGTGATGGTCAGGCTGGAGACACAGACGGCTACATTTATCACTATTATGACACTATTTCACAGAATATGTTTTTCTGAGCTATGGCTATTTTCAGCACTTAAAGAACACTGACCAACTGCACCAGCTATAAAGAGAGCATAATTAGTGCTGTTTAATTGGAATTAGGCTATGTTCACATTAGCAGATGGAAGTGGCACAAATCAGATTTTTTCGTCTTAATGTGAACAGATTTGATTTTTTTCAGAGCTGTGTGGACGCACACATCTGATGTTTACAAATCAGATCTAAACCACTTTCAAATGAGGTTCTAGACAGGATCTATATCTGATTTGTGCAGTGCAACCTTAACAAGAACATTCAGATCGGAATTCATGTGTCTTTTTTCACTGTGCATGCCCTGTCAACAAAAATTTGGACTATTCGTTAAAGCCCTTCACATCATGACTAAATAGTAATGGCAACGTTAATGTAAAAAAATATCGCAAACAAAAATTAAGACAAAATCTCTGTTTATTGTGCCCTGATGACCAAAGACGAGACAAAGTCAGTGGCTCTGTTTGGGCCCACGAACTAGATCACAGTAGCATCTCGGAGCACTGCCTGTTTTCCTTTTTACATGCACAAATCTGCGAGTACAAATTCTATCTGCCTCCACCCATTTTTCTCAAGGGATTGATTTTCTGTTTCCTGCTCGGTGCAAACGCCAGCTTCCAGTATGAGTCATGTGAGCAAGCTAACCTTGTCAGAGCCTGCTAATAAATCCAGCAGCTTAAAAAGCCGAACAAAACTATTAGTTGGCCTCTCAAATGATGAGCGCCTCCCCACTAGCAGCCTGTCAGGTGGGAAGAAAGAGGAGAGATGATCTGTGGACGCAATTCTCAAAAAAGCAAAACCCTTTTTGAGGCGCCAGACCTCAGGATGTGATAAGCTCCTGTATTTTCCCTGCACATTATCTTAGCAACAGTTTAATTTCTAGCTTTAATTACTTTATTTTATGTGCTGTTTTATTATCTTTGGCTCCTGAATTTAAATTTTTGACATCTAAATGTTCTATTAAGCTTCAACAACTCTTGGGAGGTTTTAAAAGTTTGCTAGCACAGGTTTCCTAAGCATTGATTAACAGTTTGGTTGGTATCACTCCGAAGCAAGATGATGTCCAGTTACGGCTGCTGCTCGGTGGTGAAAGCGGTAAGTTTTAGTGCTCTTGCTCACTCGTGGTGCTGGAAATGAGTCGAGTTTAATCACAAATGCATTTCTCACTTCTTAAGCACTTCTTATGTGTTTTTAACAATGCCTGCAAAAGCCTCTCTAAGGTGCTGGATCTCACGAGGTTATAAGCTGTATTATTATTATATTTTTCTGTTTGTGTAAAGCACTTTGAATTGTGCATAAAAGGTGCTGTACAAATAAACCTGCCTTGACTTCAAAACAAAAGAAAGACTGAGTATTATTCCCAATGAGCCGTGTGAACTGAAGGCAGAAAAAACACAACCAGTTTGACAACACGCCGCCCCGCAGTGTCTGCCATAATAAATATGAATTATGTATGTTGATCGATTCGATAACATTAGGCAAACATAATGTTAGGTGTCATAGTGACTGCTCTGGAACACTCAGGTCTTCATTTTTATATATGAAATAAGTAACACATTCTCAGCCTAGACTGAACACAGTTCAAGGTACATTTACTTCTCATCTACTTTTTACAGCTGGAGAAATATCCTGTAGCAAAATCCATAACAGGATCATGAAACTGTCTGAGAAAATTCTGACTTAAACACTGCCTAAAATTTAAATCAAAACTGAGCTTCACTGACTAAATCTTGACTAAAATATACAAAAAAAAGGCTAAAATGTGACTTTAAATCAACTACAATTGTCGGTAAATAACTAAGACTGAGGGTGCTTTCACACCTGCCTTGTTTGGTCTGGACCTTCTTACTTTTCAATTCAGTCTGAACCAAATTAGCAGGTGTGAAAGGTGCCTCAAACCACAGTCCGGACCAAAGAACCAAAATTTGAACCTTGTTTCAGACTTTCAGGTGCGAAAAGGCCCAAAAACTCCATTTAAAATTCTTGTCAAGACTACTACTGATGCGCAATCATTCAGCATTAACGTGGCAACAGAGCTGAACCTGAAGTTGCCAGTAAACACTGCAAAAGCATCTGAACCAGATCTGAACCCAAAGCATTTTCGCTCTGATAGTGAAGCTGAGAGCTGATCAGAGTGAGCGATCTCACTGATGAAGGTCATCTGCTGGTCAGTTTGTTTGATCAGGATGCGCATGGTGTGTGTGCCAGAAGGTTGTTTCAGGGCACATTAATGACAGATTTGAGCCACTTATCTACATGAACGTGAACATGCTAATAATGTTCTGTAAAGTGGTCTTGAAGGGGAATTCCACCGATTTGTTCAGAGTGGTTTTGTGTGAAACGCTCCATTCTAGAGAAACTTACCGAGTCGCAGTGGTGGTGATAGGAACCAGACGTCCACCTCTAAAATCTCCCTCACAGAAAGTTATTACATGAAATGGTAATAATGACTGAGACATTGTTTTATGACCATTCATGGTGGAGGGATACATGTAGGGTGCTGTGAGGCAAAATAGTCACCAAAGAAAACTCAATATTATAGATTTTCCACTATTTTCCCCATCATCAACATTCCACATAAAACTCAGTAGACACTTGTAGGTTCACTGGTGGCTTTGGACAGTAAATAAAATGTATTTATATATTTAAAAAATATATTTATATATTTATATATATTTGTGTTGTAGTCATGGTGACCCCTGGTTCCTATCACCACCACTGTAAAGACATATGAACCATTTCACACCAAACCACTCTGAATCTCTGTCAACATCTCACACACTGAATTATGGGGGAATTTTGAAAAAACCACGGAATTCCCCTTAAAATAGGGAAAACAGTACATAAATAAAAACAAACGATCACACTTTCTTCGCTCTCCTACCTACGAGTTCTCCTATCATGAACAGGAAGTAAAGCACGGCGGCGAGTGCCAACTTCCTCATCACCCGGCTCCGCTTGTGCCGCTCTTTCCTCTTTGTGCAGTTCTCACACGTTTCCACGGCGACCCCTGGGCTGCCCGGGCTGGACGACAAGCCAAGCAGAGACTCATCGTCATCGTCGGCGTTGGTGATGAAAGTGTTTACAGCCGTGCCATTGGAGGACGCCGCCGTGTAGTCGTCCATCTCTCCGGAGACCACCACCTTCAGCCTGCTGAAGCGGGGGCTGTCCTCCTCCGCCAGCTCTTCGTCTAGCGGGGCCGACGCGCTCCAGTCCCGGTCCCACCGCTCCCGCCGCAGCACCGACCGCATGCGGGACATGAAGTCCACACCTGCCATACTGCTGCAAAACCAATACTCAAGAATGTGGAGAAATAAGTGCGTGTATATGAATGTGTATATATTAACTTCTGGCTGTTAAATCTGTCCGTTCTGGTGTCGTTGTTTTGGAGAGGCTGCAGCGGTCAGGTGCTCCCTCAGGATCCTCAGGTTTACTCCACATGACGCCATCATCTCACACCACCTACAATAATAAACAAGACTGTAATGATATGTAATAATAATAATTATAATGGGAACAGTAATACGCAGTAAGGTCACTTTACAAAGCATCAGCAACAGAACACACAACTTTTTACATGCGTTTCTACTCATTTAGCTCTTTTTATACTATTTCAGTTACATTTTTTACTATAATTACAGCAAACAGTGAGTTTCCATCTACAAAAGGCACTAAACAAATAAAACTGTCCTAATTATTATTATGATAATGATGATTTGCAGCCATTCTTTATAAGCCATATGCAGGATCTTTCTTTGTGGAAGCTCTACGTGCACTAAGTCGGTTAAGTTAATAGTAGAGGTGGGTGACATGTCAAAAATACAATATTGTGATCTCTCAAGAAGCTTTTACAATACACAATTTGTCACAATATATATTTTTTCACACATCTGATCAGTTGGAACACAGAAAAATAACCTACTTTTTAAAAATGACTATTAAAAACTGAATACAGTCCACAGTTTTATTTTTATACAATATTTGGCACTAAATCCAGCTAAACTGACTAATTTTGCTCTCTTTATAATGAAACATTCAGTTGGCCAGTGTCTACAAGCACTGACGATATACACGATGTTCAGAAAAGAATACTGTATTGTGACAAAATTTATCACGATAACGATATATACTGTCATTGCCCAGCCCCAGTACCTAACTCTAATTAAAATTCTGATGGATTTACACTTTCCTAGGTGCTTTCAAATGCTTTCATTTTTAGTTACTCAGTCAGTCCTGCGCTAAGAGGTCCTGGGAGGACTCCACCGCTCTTCTCTACGTGAATTCAGATTTTTTTAAAACGAGGATGAAGTTAGTTTCTTATTCGAATTTTCCGTTCCACCTTAAAAGGCGCAGCAGTGACATTGTGGTGGACAGCGGCAGACCGTGGCTGCTGCACCTTTTAAGGTGGAACGGATAATTCGCGAACAGGAAGCCAATTTCAGCTTTATGACTTTTAACTCAGTGCTGGTTTTTCGTTAACTGCTTTGACCCTCTCGTTACCTTATTGATCTTGTATTTTTACTCCAGTGTAGGCTTGCTCTACTGTTGTTATTGATCAACCTCTCTCTCCCTCTCTCTCCAGGCCGTTCTCTCAAACGGAAAGCCACGAACTCACCGTCCTCCGTTTATGTCCGGTCGAATGGTTAAAGACCGTCCATCCTAAAGTCCATCCTAACCACACACACTCATATAATAAACTTCCAGCATTAGTGTCAGAAACGTCACCCTCTCTTTCTCTCACTCTCTCTTCTGCTGCGTCTTCTCTTGCGTTCAGCAGCTCTGTGAAATCAGCGACAGTCGCCGGAACGTCATATGACTTTATCTACAAAATAAAAGTAGACAGGTTAGCTCTAAACTAAAAAAATAAATAAAATATTGTACACTTATCAGCCACCTCACTCGCTGTCCATTTTATCAGCTCCACTGACCCTTTGTAGTTTTACAGTTACAGACTGTAGTCCATCTGTTTCTATACATACTTTGTTAACCTGTTCTTCAATGGTCAGGACCCCCACAGAGCAGGTATTATTTGGGTGGCGGATCATTCTCAGCACTGCAGTAACACTGACGTGGTGGTGTGTTAGTGTGTGTTGGGCTGGTCTGAGTGGATCAGACACAGCAGTGCTGCTGGAGTTTTTAAACACCTCAGTGTCACTGCTTATGTTGTAATTAAGAGCCCATCAATTCAAATGTTTACTATTTAATTACCTTTAAGGCTTAATATTTATCGAATTTAAGACAATAAGATTTTTTTTTTACCGGAATGTAAGAAGACAGGCAGAGTTTCAGCAACATGTTTTCATCTTTCATAAAGTGATGGAGCAGTGTGGCAACACAACAAAGAAGCAGAACCCTGATTGGTCCTCTTGTGTGTACTCAAAGTGCTGACTGGCTCATAACTAGAACCTCATAGAATTAAGTTAGAGTTTGACTTTAGAGATAGACCATTCTGTTTTCTAGATAAAGAATCCAAAAATGCACACAACTTAAAAACACCACACATTATGTAAAGAAAATATCACAGAATAAGCATATGTGAATAACTAAATTTTGACCAAAATATTAAATAGAACATTATAATTCCAAGGAGACGGTGTGTGCTGATTATTAGTACATTTGTAATGTATTCTGCACCTTATAAATAATTATTTTAAATCGTGTTATTTTCAGTTCCGAATTTTTAAATTCGGACACTTTTATTCTGACACTGTGCTTCGCTGCCGTCGCCCGTTGCTGCTGGACTCGGTAAAATGTCACATGATGTTTTTAAGGGCTGAGTGAGTGTTGTTTTTTTGGAGGATTTTTAAAAAAATTACTGCAGAAATGTCGGCAGGTGAATTACGGCTTTATGTTTCTGAGTTTTAGCAGCTAAATTTCACCTGTTTAAATGTGTTTTGTGTTTAAATAAGAGCTGTGTAGTTACTGAGACTGTGTTCTTCCTGTTAGTGAGTGTGTGCTCTGTCAGATCAGAGCGGTTACAGCATTTATACTCATCATATTGATAGATTTCATTTACTACACGTGGCGTAACAGCACAGTGTGATTGCATGTTTTATTGCTGATGATTGCAGCTTTTCAAACATCCTGGTTCTCTTAAAGGGCTCCTGTGATCAGAGCTTCATCCTAATGGAGCAAGAAGCTGGAGATGCTGACCAGCCCCTCCCTCAGGGTGCAGAGCCACCGGCCAACACAGGTCAGCCAACATACATATACACCAATCAGCCATAACATTAAGTCCACTTCCTTAGTTCTACCCTCACTGTCTATTTAATCAGCTCCACTGACCAAATAGTTTCCCTTTGTAGTTCTACAGTTACAGACTGTAGTCCATCTGTTTCTCTGCATACTTTGTTACCCTGTTCTTCAATGGTCAGGACCCCCACAGAGCAAGTATTATTTGTGTGGTGGGTCATTCTCAGCACTGCAGTAACACTGATGTGGTGGTGGTGTGTTAGTGTGTGTTGCGCTGGTCTGAGTGGATCAGACACAGCAGTGCTGCTGGAGTTTTTAAACACCTCAGTGTCGCTGCTGGACTAAGAACCAAAAACATCCAGCCAACAACGTCCTGTGGGCAGCGTCCTGTGAGCTCCGATGAAGGACTAGAGGATGACCCACACAAACTGTGCAGCAGCAGATGAGCTATAGTCTCTTTCTTTACATCTACAAGATGGACCAACAAGGTAGGAGTGTCTAATAGAGTGGACAGTGAGTGGACACAGTGTTTAAAAACTCCAGCAGTAGTATTTAGACTGTTCTAAGCTAAGATTGAACGTATTCTTGTATATAAACTCCAGCTGAACATGTTCTTATGCATGTTGTAAATATTTTGTCCTGTTGGTGCAGTGTGTGTGGAGTCTGCAGAGCCTCAGGCTGAGAGTGACGTTGGAGGTGTGGAGGATCTGGTGGTCGTGAATGAAGAAGCTGTGGAGAAACTGACTGAGGGGCTGATCTCTCACTACCTACCCCAACTGCAGACCTCCAAACGAGCCCTGCAGGAGCTGACGTAGATATCTTCTTTCTAACATTATAAATTCTCATATAACTCATGTCATTGAAAATTAATTTTTTTAATATAAGAGTTGTGATGTATTATGGAAACGTGGGTAAAGTCCATATGTGGGAGCTGTTATACAGCCCATTTTGAATGCATTGTTTTTGTGATGTCACAGGAATCAACATGTTTTTATTATTCATAAGGAGCATTTTAGCCTGGACTGCTTTTTCAGTGATGTGCAATACAGGATGGCCAATCAGAACAGAGTTTATTCACATATATCTTGATGTACTGATTTTTTGTGAGTGCTTGGCACAAAAGTTGATGCTATTTCAACTTAAACATGCGCTTTGAAAGTGTGAGGTGTGCTGCACAGGCTAAAGGAGAGCTTTCCAGTCACTGTGCTCCATAAACTTAAGAGAGTCTGAGAGTCATAAGTGGAACTTATTTTTTTGGAATGATACATTGGAAATATCAAACTTGAGTAAAATGATGATGATATGACATGATATGATGATAATGTCTCCGTTTTTCTCTGCAGACAGAATCAGGTCATATTATTGGAAACACTGGAGCAGGAAATAACCAAGTTTCGAGAGTGTAACACCATCATCGATCTGAATTCTTTGGTGAGATTTTTCTGTCTCAAACACACATATATGTGTGTTTATGCATATATATAGATAGATATGTATGTGTATACACACACACACACACACACACACACACACATATATATATATATATATATATATATATATATATATATATATATATATATGTGTGTGTGTGTGTGTACATCGTGTTTTATACATACATACATACAAATGCATGTCTGTATATATGTGTGTCTAAGTGTACAACCAAGAGTATGTGAAACTTTTGAGTTCAGGTATTTCATCCACACTCATTGCTAACAGGTGGATAAAATTCAGCCCATAGCCTTGCAGTCTTCATAGACAAACACTGGCAGTAGAATGGGTCATACTGATGAGCTCAGTAACTTTAAACATGACACTGTCATAGGATGCCACCTCTGCCACAAGTCAGTTTGTGAAATTTCTGTCCTGCTAGATCTGCGAATTTCCTGCTATTGTTGTGAATAGGAAATGTCTAGGGAGCTACAACAGCTCAGCCACGAAGTGGTAGACCACACAAACTCACAGAGTGGGACCACCAAGTGCTGAACCACATAGAGCATAAAAATTGCCCAATACCTACTAGTTAAGTTCCAGACTTCCTCTGGAAGCAAAATTAGCACAAGAACTGTGCTGGGGAACTTCATGAAATGGGTTTCCATGGCTGAGCACCTATATACAATCCCAAGATCACTATGCGCAATGCCAAGCGTCGGCTGGAGTGGTGTAAAGCACGCCCCACTGTACTCTAGAGAAACGTGTGAAACTTGTGCTCAAAGCAGCTCCATAAAGACATGGTTTGACCAGTTTGGTGTGGAGGAACTCCAGTGTTCTGCACAGAGCCCTGACCTCAACCCCATTGAACACCTTTGGGATGAACTAGAACGGAGATTGTGAACCAGGCCCTCTCGTCCAACATCAGTGTCTGACTTCACAAATGCTCTTTTAACTGAATGGGCACAAATTCCCACAGACACACTCCAAAATCTTGTAGAAAGCTTCCCAGAAGAGTGGAGGCTGTTATAGCCGCAAAGCATGGTTTGGAATCAGATGTCCAACAAGCTCATATAGGCGTGATGCTCAAGTGGCCACATACTTTTGGCCATATAGTGTGTGTAAATATATGTATACCTATTCAGGAGTGTTTTGAGCCCAGAATACTTTTTGAATAGGGGCAGCTAATCAGAATAGAGCTCATTTACATATATCAGTTTTACATGCACAGTAATAAAAACACCTGCTTAATCCTAAGGGATAAAAGGAGGTTGGAAAATGTTAATATAAAAAAAAAAGAATTATAGGTCAAAGTAACATACAAGAAGAATGTAGAATATGGGCTCTTTAAATGACAGACATGCATGTTTAGTTAATACGCTTAGTAATGATTATTGTAGTTTCTGTTTTTGCTCAAGGATGTTGGTTAAATAAATGGTCAGCCCTGTTGGTGAGACGTACTGTGAGCGTAAGCACAGCTGTCCTTACCTCACCTTCACCCAGCTGTCACACTGCTGCAGCTGTTCAGGGCTGTTTGTTGTTGTAGCTCTGAGGGTGATCGAGTGATTGAGCTGTTTCTCTAACGGTGCTGCTATGTGTGTAGTTCACAGAGGCGAAAGTGTATCACAATAAACTGGTGAACATTCGGAAGGAGATGGTCACTCTGCATGACAAGACCTCCAAACTAAAGGTGAGCTTTTCACCCCCACCTGATCACACGGCTCACAGTGACCATTGTAAGTGAAATGCTAACATCTTTTTTCCCCAGAGCTTAGCACTCATTAACCACAGTGACACCTCACACTTTACACTTAAATTGTTCCATCAAACCTTCTTACTGTATTACAGCAACTTCTCTGTAATACAATGGTCATTTTACCATGGTTACCATATTAACAAACACAACAATTTCGCCTAGCTAGTAGCTAACGAAAAGACAAAGAGAGAGATTTAAGACGAACAACGATAATTTGAAGACGAATGGACTTATTTGCTTTTATAATCACTCCAGCTGGTTTCCTGATACATTTAATCTGCAAACGAGAAACTGACAAACACTAAAAAGTCACGAAGCTGAAGTCAGCTTCTCGTTCAAATTTTCCCATTTCACCTTAAATGGTGCAGCAGTTACATTCTGGTGCCTCAGGCACCATTTAAGGTGGAACAATTCGAAGAAGAAGCTGGCGAATGAGAAGCTGCCAGCCTCAGAAATAATCAAATGTTGAGAGATGTTTTACAAGAAACTACTTTTGGAAAAGTTTCCTGCCAGAGATGCGAGAAAAGTGGCTATATCTGGATAATATCTGGAATATATTATTATTGGGTTTGCTGACCTCTGTTGTAGACCTACATGTGTAGAGATCTGCTTATGTACAGATATTCACACACTTGTGTAGTAATCTTTTGATGTCAGTAATGAAATTCAGGAACCGAGCTGTAAGCTTACAGATAACCAGTACTTTGACATAGACTAAGAGGATGTGGAAAAGGCCTTCCTGTCGGCAAAAGTAGATGTGAGTCATTGACCTGACAACATCTGCGGTAGATTACTTAAATTTTGAAAAAGAGCTGAGTCATGCATTCCATTACATTTTTCGTAAGTCTTTACAGTCACAGCATCTACCTAAGGTCTGAAAGGACGCTGTGATAGTCGCCGTTTCCAAAACCACTTATCTCAAAACTGTTGCCCTTTCATCATTTTCATTAAAACATTCAAAAACAAATCTTAATGCAACATGCAGTCTGCTTATAGGCCACACAGAGTATTAGAGGATGTCACAGTCACTCTGCTTAACCTGCTTGTTAAACATTTGGAGGGTCCCATAAGCGACTTTAATTTGTAGATTTTATTTCTGCTTTTAAAACAATTCAACCCCATATTTTAACCAGCAGGCTTCTTGAACAGTTTGACCTGAGTAATAATCTGGTGGGCTGGATTCTTGATTTTTTAAAGGGGAACTCCACTGATTTTTCAAAAAAATCTCCTTAATTAAATGGTTAAGAGAAACTTACCAGGTCACAGTTGTTCACAGTGGTGGTGATAGGAACCAAACGTCCACCTTTAAAAGCTCCTTCACAGAAAGACAAACCTCCACAAACCAATACACCGGCATTACCAGTCTGTCCTACATACCACAAACCATTCCACCAGCATTCCCGGTCTATCCAACATACCACAAACCAATCCAGCAGCACTTCCAGTCTACCCTACATATCACAAACCGATCCAGCAGCACTCCCAGTCTACCCTATATACCACAAACCGATCCAGCAGCATATCCAGTCTATCCTACATACCACAAACCGATCCAGCAGCATTCCCAGGCATTATAGATATCTTAGTTTCCTAACATTTCTCTGATTTGCTGCAGATCTGTTAACATAAAAGCCACCAACCACTACTGATCACGTGTCGGGTTCTTGAAGGGTTGCCCTATTTCGTAAGGAAAATTTCAAACACTAGCCCTTATCACTCAGTCCCAAGGGGCAAGGTGACACTCAAAAACAAGGGATAGGGGTAAAAATAAGAAATGGTATTGGGCCTTACAGTGTGTTACATGTCATACATGTGTGACTCACCAAGACTGGTTCTTGGTATATGAAGAGAGAAGGTTTATTATCATTCTGATTACTGATCATGAACTCCTCTAATCTCTCTCTCTCCCCCTCTCTCTCTCTCTCTGGTGTCTGTGTGAGCAGAAGCGAGCGCTGAAGCTGCAGCAGCAGAGACAGAAAGAGGCGCTGGAGAGGGAGCAGCAGAGAGAGAGAGAGCTGGAGAGAGAGAGACAGCTCATCGCCAAACCTGCCAAACGGACTTAAAACTCGCACACACTCTCTCTGAAGCCAAAGGCCAGCAGAGTCCAGCGGACAGTCAGCACCTGCAGAGGAGATTCTCCACAGTGTACAGCACTATGAAGAAGTTTTAGGCACCCGAGAGTCGATTTGTCAAGCTCTTCTGGGCAATAAGCGTTTATGTGCTCAGAAAACAATAAATACGAATAATATTAATACAGTAATTCCATTTCTAAACCTCTCCTGGAGGAAGTCAAGTATTATTATAGTCATCATTGATAATCAGCCCTTAATTGTGTCAAGTCAGGTGCTGCTTATATAACAAATCCGTGTAATGTCTGAAGGAGAAATGTTTCCAAAATAAGAAATTCTTATTACTTTTTCACTGCATGTATGTTTATTTGCATATATTTCAATGACATACTGTGGTTTCTACGGCCAAGACAAATGGCTTTAAGTGACATGCTTAGATGTCTAAAACTTTTGCGCAGTGCTGTGTATGTGTGGAAACAGAACTTTTAAGGAAGTTTTTTCCAGCCTTTCTCTATCTGCTGCACCTGTGGCAAATGCTCAATTACCACACACAGTAATCTCAGCACAACAGAAGACATAATGACTCTCAACTCACTTATAATGGAGGTCAGTGGACAGATGCTGAATTCTGTGAATGCAGGTTACTTTCACTTTTCACAAGGTTTTCTGGTAACTATGGTGATGAGGAGGCGGGGCCTGTGAAAACTCCACCTACACTTTTAAAAAAAGATGGTTCGTCAAGGGTTCTCTAGTAAAGACAGTGGTTCTAGAAAGAACCAGGAACACTGAAATAAACATTTGCATGATTAAGTGGTTCTTTGCATGGTGAAAAGGTTCTTCAGATTTATGGAGAATGTGTTGTGAACATATAAATGTGTGTATAGCGCCAAAAATGTATATATGTGTATATACATAGATGTCAAGCTTGTAACCGTAGCACCATATAAAGCATCATACACAACAAATTACCACAGATTCCTCTCTCTGGAGAACTTGTTCCATCTCTGAAAGATCCACTTATACAGATGTTCAGCTTTATTTATAAACACCTTTAACTGAAGAATTCCTGAAAGTGGTTGAAACTTTTAAGTCGTGATGTTTCTGTTGTTCAGGGAAGCTTGCTGAAGTTGTCTGTGTGGTAATAAACCATACGATACAGATACAGCAGATACAGACTAGATTACAAACTGCTGAAAAAACCTTTAATCTTTTGTAAAGCAGGTGGGACAAACACAAAAACATGAACACCTGCATTTTTTTTGTATATGTTTTTTTTTTAATTAAGCCCAGTTACCACTTTGAAACCCAGCAGTCTATTACCCTTCTAAGCTCCGCCCACAAATGTCTTCTACTGTTATGAGGTTAGTCTTTACAGAACACTGTGAAATATGTATATTGCTTTTGGGACAAATCCTTGTATCTCAATTTTTATTGCTTTTAATTTTTTGACATAATTTGGAAAAGGCAGTTGTCCTTTATGTTGTGTTAAAATGTCATGATAAACAGGCCAACAGAAATGTTCCAAAATTCCTTGGAAGAAAATATTATGAGAATTTTTGTTGTCCTGTAAAGTTACTTTTTGTAGGTACTGTATTCTATATGTACAGACTCAGTTTATATCACAATACCTACATTTAGTCAGTTATTCACTTCTAGTGCCATTAATTTTGTGTGTGTGAAAGGATCACTTAGTGTTGTCTAAAGAGTGTCCAACTTCACTACAGTAATTACAAAAGAACGTGTTTGTAGGCGGAGCCTGGGCAGCACAAATAGAGTAGAAATAATGGAAATCCTTGTCAGAGAGTGTTGATGTAAACTCTTAACTTCAGGAAACGAGACAGTCCAGTCAGAAACAGCCTAAAACTAGCCCAAACTGGCCCACATCTGTTGTCTTAAAGCACAGAAATTTTACAACCGTACTGTAAATAAAGCAGCCTCTGTGGGTTTAGAAGTGTATCTGGAGGAGAAGTTGATATTTAACATGTTTCCAGTTTTTCGAATGCAAGCACACACATTCTGTTTTAGAAAAAATGTGCAGGTAAGTTTTGACGATGTCATTAAAGATGATTTGAAATGTGATCTATGCTGTTTGTCTTATTTACACTGTTCTCCACCTGGGGTCCTGCATGGCTCTCACACTTCTACACCATGATGGCTGTGATGTTTGTGTGTGCTCATGTTTACTTTATTCAGTTTAGATTTACAGTAACGACGCACATTAATAAACACTTCTGTTAATGTGACAGTTGGAGAACTTTCAGCTGTTTATTGTGTTTATATACCTCAGATGTTTTGTGTTAACTTTGTGGCCCACCATGGAAACATGTCTTTGTCTTCTAATTATATGCATAACAAAAGCCTGTATAACCTGCATATTAAAACAAACGAAACAGTTGGTGAACCAATTCAGCAACTGAGCAGCAAGACAGAGCACAGAATCTAAACTAGTCAGCATGAAAGTCACTGTAAAGGTCTCTGTTATGAGCATTGTGTGAAAGACCCCCTGGTATTTGGGGATCCCATGAAAGCTCAGTGCTCGCTTTTAATAAATACCTTAAAACGTATCTCTTTATCTTAGCTTGTAGTTAAAAGTGTCTCTTTGTTATTTATCTTTTTATTTTCTTATTTCCCATTGTCTTATATGATTGTAAATGAATACTCATAATTTCTTCTATATTGTTAAGCTTTATCAACTGTCTGTAAAGAGCTGCCACCAAGATAAAAAGTGCTCAAAATAAAAATGAGTGTTATTATTATTATTATTACTATTATTATTATTTCTCCAGCGTTGTCTAAGGTATCAGTAAATTTACGGTGGCAATGAATTTAAGGTGGCAGTGTATTAAGGTATCAGTAAATTTATGGTGGCAGTGAATTTAAGGTATTAGTAAATTTAAGGTGGCATTGAATTTATGATTACATTTAAGGTATTGTTAAGGGTTTTAGGTATTGTTAAGCTCTCTGTACAGCACTTTGAGCTGCCACTGGTATGAAAAGTGCTCTGAATAAAAAATTGTGTTATTATTATTCGTTTTATAATAATAATAATTATAATAATAATAATAATAACAATACTACTACTAATAATAATAATTATATTATTATTATTATTATTATTATTATTATTACTATTTTTACCATTTTTACTCCAGCATTGTCTAAGGTATCAGTACATTTATGGTGCCAGTGAATTTAAGGTATTAGTGAATTTAAGGTGGCAGGTAATTGTATCTGTACATTTCAAGTTCAATTTTCAAGTTTATTTGTCATTTGCACAACATGTCAGGACATTCATGCATTGAAATGCTTGTGGTGAGGCTCAGTCAATCACTCTACAGAAAGTAAACAAAGTAAAAATAAAAATACAAGAAATTACTGAAACTGAAATATATTAAATATACACAAAATATAGAGACAGGAGGGACCTATGTAAGGAAAAAAATCCTCTCTGCTATGTGCAAATATATTTATATTAAACAAGAGATAATCTGTGAAGAATATATACATTTTAAAGTGGCTTATATCACTCAGTGTTATTGTTATTTAAAGTGACTTAGTGTTATTGTCCATAGCAGTAATATGATATAATAATAATAATAACAAAGTGACTGAGTGAAATGGTAGTTGGGGAAGGACCCACAGCTTCACAGCTTGTTCAGAAGCCTGACAGCCTGTGGGTAGAAACTGTTCATTAGCCATGTTGTTCTAGCATGTATGCTGTGAAATCTCCTGCCTGATGACAGAATGGTGAACAGGCTGTGTGCTGGGTGACGCTGTCTGACTGGATCTTTTTGATTTTCCTGAGGCAGCAGGACTGATAGATGTCCTGTAAGGCTGGTAGTTTGTTGCTTATGATGGCTTCTGCCATCCTCACCACTCCTTTAAGGGCCTTACGGTCGCAGGTGGTGCAGCTGCTGTACCAGACAGTGATGCACACCTCTCTATGGTGCATCTGTAGAAATTGGTGAGGATCTGAGGAAGAAGAACAAACTTCCTGAGCCTACGCAGGAAGAAGAGACGCTGACGGGCAGATCTCACCATAGTGTTGGTGTGGAGGAACTAGGTGAGGTCATCAGTGAGGTATACGCTGAGGAACTTCACACTGCTGACTCTCTCCAATTCAGCTCCATTGATAAATAGGGGAGAATGACCACCCCTCTGCAGCTTCCTGTAGTCCACGATCATCTCCTTTGTTTTGCTGATGTTGAGACAGAGATTGCTGTCATGGCACCAATCTGACAGAGCGCTGACCTCGTCTCTGTTTCAGCTCCATCAGTGATGAGGCCTAAGATGGTAGTGTCATCAGCAAATTGGTGGCAGTGAATTCATGTTATGATTACGTGTAAGGTGGCAGTTAATTTAAGGTGGCATTGAATTTAGGATTACATTTAAGGTGGTGGTGGATTTAAGGGAGCAGTTTAAGATAACACCTGGCATCACATTACCATCCAGTTTGGATACTGTAGCAACCGCCTTGCAACATCTAAACCACACTTTAGCAACCATCAGCAGTCTTTCACCATTTTAACGTTTAACGTAATTAGCTGGCTTTTTGAAGTTCACGATCTATCCCTTTCCAGTTATTATTATTATTATTATTATTATTATTATTAGTGTGGATGAAGCAGATAAACAATCAGCTTCACTGGATTTGAATCTGAGCCTCTATTTTGCATCATAATAAGTTCATTTTCAGAGACAAATTTTGATCCTTGGACATTCAGGAGTTTAAATAGGGAATCCTAGACCCCCCAGAACCCCCTGTATTTTGCACCTTGGTTTATGAGTAAGGGCTTGACCACGCCCGTAGCATGAATTGATTGCTGCAACGCAGAGTCTGACCTTTAGGTGGCAGCAGAGGAAAGCAAAGTTTCTCCAGGACGTTTAGAAAGTTGATCAGAGTCAGTGAAGAGGAGTGGATTATTACTGTACATCTTCAGGATAAAAACGTTCAGATTGTAATAAACACAGAGAGAAACAGGACTAACCTGACACTTGTATATACATATCAGGTACATTGTTATTACACATATAGATGCTCACACAGACAGTGAGGAGAAACAAGCATTCAGCTTCTTTTTCTTTTTTTTAAATTTCAATTCAATTCAACTTTATTGTCATTATATCAATACAGTATAATGCAAAACTTTTAGGGTTACTTCTCCAGTGCAATCATAAAATAAAAAGATAAAAAGACAACAGGCACACAGACAGTAAATACA